ACAGTCTACGTAGCTGTTAAGACCAGGCAATGTCACAAGCTGTATTATGGATGTTACAAAGTCATCATTAGAGACTCAGTTGAAAGTGTTTTGGAACCGGAGGTCATTTTGGGGGGGATTGCAGCTCCCCCGGGTGAGGTACAGGGGGGCGGGGCACATGACGAAGCCCCGCCCCCTGCTTCCAGCAGCCGCGCTTCCGGCCCTCATTCAGCCAGGAGGAGGCAGAAGAGGGAGGGTAAGTTGCTTCCTCCCTGCCTCTCCCCACCCCTGCCTGCCTGGGGCCAGGGAGGGCCTTCGCGGGCTTCCTTGCACTCCCGCCGGCCTTGTAGGTCCACCGCCGGGCCCCTCATGGGGCTCGGCAGTGGAGCTGCAAGGCTGGCGGCGGCCGGGACCATAGGGGGAGGGGTGTGTGGCCTTATGACACACTTCCGGTGATGTCAGGGGGTGTGGCCTTATGACACACTTCCGGAGATGTCAGGGGGTGTGGCATATGCTAATGAGTTATGCTAATGAGTTCCCCTAGCTCTTTTTCTACGAAACGACCCCTGTTTGGAACAGATTCCTAGAGATACGAGATGCCAAATTCTTACATTTGAACCTGCACGTAAAGCTAGGCGTTATATTAATGTGATTAAAAAAAACCAAAATGTACTGTACCCCAGTTCCACAAAAGATGCTTTCAGGCTATCAAGAGGAGCATGTGATAATGAAAGCATAGTCATCACGTCTTCTAAGAATCCAACTAACAGCTTGCGGTCTTCTTCCTGAAAGGAGGTTTTAAGACGTTTTAGTTTTACTTTCCTAAACTGCTGTGAGTCGTCTAGAAGACCTTCTGGTCCCACAGCCCTCAAAAGGAGATTACACATTTTTGGGATGCAGTTGCTACGCCTAGGCCTCATCCTCTTTGGTCGCTTCACTCTCCAGCATCCACTTTCAGCAATCTGGTGGCTAAGACACCTCGGACCCACTGGCAATGTTCCCTCTAATCCCCCCCCCCCCCAAATAATGAGCAGAGCAGTTCACACCCAGAGCAGAATAGAACTGCTGTAATCTTAAAATTGGGCCATGGGCAGTGCAAGACCCTGCGCGGCTCCAGACGGCTCCCGAGGGGGGCTTCCTGTGTCAATCAGCGGCCGCTCACGCACGCAGCTTAGAGGGAACAATGCCAACTGGGCAGCTCTTAAAGTTCAGTCAGAGATTAGGAACCAAGGGTATTAATTCCATCGAGATCAGGAGTCATAAGTACTGTGACTTCAGCATGACACTCCTTCAGCTGGTTTGGAAATGACAGTAATTTTACAAACCTGTCAAAAGACTATTCCTTACCTCTGTACACATTCATAATATATTTGCAGACTATACTATATGAACAAAGAGGCTATCATCTTTCCCCCAGGTATGCCTCTGTGACATTTCCGAGCAGATCAAACCATCATTGAAACTGAGACTCCTTTCCAGTATTACCTTTACCACGTGCATTCCGCACAGTGACTCTGAAAACAACTCTCCCATCAAAATGTGCAAGTGGGTGGGAGCCAAGACATTTCCAGAGACACAGAAACAACGATGTTACACACTCCTCCCACTCAACTAAACAGCTAAGAGTATCTATTTTTATAATATTTATTTATAATTTTTATTTTTTTATTTTTAAATATTATTTTTATTGTTTTCAATTAGTAAAATAGACAGTTTGTCCATTTCTGCTACCTCTAGCAGTCTATGTATTACATCATCTTTTGTAGGTATTCTCCCTGACTTCCGTTGTTTAGCAAATAGTATACGAGCTGCTGTTAGTATATAAGTTCTCACATATATATCCTCTTTCTTATAGCTTTCAGGCAGTATATTTAATAAGAAAATTTTTGGTATATGCAGCAGATCTATGTTTACTATCTCTAAAATTAGATTATGTATCTTATGCCAATATTTTTGAGTTATTCCACATCTAGAACAGCTGTACTGTGCCTGCATTGCCTCTCGAAAGCAAACTGCACTGTCCCACGCCAAAGAATGATTACCGCAGCTGGCTATGTAAACACTGGTACATCTCTTTTTAGTCTAATGCTCCAGATTCTTGTAGGGCAAGCACCATCACTTTACTACAAGCGGAAGGAAGGGCATATACTAGTGTAGGGCCCCCCAACCTTTTTCCAGTCTGTGGGCACCTTTGGAATTCTGACACAGCGTGGTGGCCGCGGCCGCAAAACGGCTGCCACGGAATCCAGAGCCAGTTATTAAATGGCTGCCACCGCTAAACTTCAGTCACGCAGTGAAGAACACCTTGTGCTGTCGTGGTAGCTGCTCCACAGCATAGTTTTTGGAAAATGCGAAGCCAATCAAATCTCCAAACGGCCAATCATAAGCCTTGCCAGGCAATGGCGTCACTTGGCACCGGTCCTACACACTTTCTAAAATCTCCAAAAGGCCAATCATAAGCCTTGCCAGGCAACGGCGTCACTTGGTCCTACACACTTTCTAAAAGCACTTGGCAGGCGCCAAGAAAGGTCTCGGCAGGGAAATCACGATGCCTATGGGCACCACATTGGGAACCCCCTGCACCAGTGGATCTTGGTTCATTAGAAGACAAAAATCCCATCCGTGGCAGGAGAAAGACAGGTGGCCTTCCCACCGCAAACTGAAAACAACTTGGTGGCAGTGGTATCACTGTAGTGTGTTCTTCAGGGTCTGAGGAACAAAGCGATCCAAAAGGAAGGTGAGGATGGAAATCCTTTATCAATAAACGAGAGATGGGAATTCTATTACACACTGGCCTCTATTCATGTGTCCATAATGTATATTTAGCATTCACACAGGAGTTCTGCTAAAAAGGGTAGCAGCGACTGCAAAAGGTGGGTGTGGCTGGATGACCACACTTCTGATAACATGGGGGTGTGGCCTAATGTGCTAATGAGCTGTGCTGTCAGGGGTGTGGCCCAATATGCTAATGAGTTCCTGCTGTTGGGTGTGGCCTATTATGCTAATGAGTTCCTGCTGGGCGTTTTCTACGAAAAGAACCCTGATAGGAATTCTATTGCACACCGGCCTCTATTCATGTGTCCAAAATGTATATTTAGCATTCACACAGGAGTTCTGCTAAAAAGGGTAGCAGCGATTGCACCTGACAAAGGGCTCATAAACACAAGAAGAGGTGCTGGGCTGAACTTGTTCGTTCAAGGTGCCTTTAGATTCTCTCTCTCTTTCTTTTTTTTTGTCATACTGGCTGCAACAGGCTAACACAACCAACCCTTTCAGAATTAGTGGTAGCATAGCCATCTTTACTTAACGTAGTCTACTTTTAAGAACAAAACGAGCTTTAAAAACTGAACGGAAGCGCTTGCCTGGATATAGCATGTCAGTACACCCGTTGCATAGATAGGAACTGTGGCTTTTGTTAGCACTCCATTCCCGGCTGTGGTATCTGAATTCAAGGGGGGTAAAACGGTAGAAGAGGTGTTAACATTTTGTTCCTGAAAAAGAGGGACACATTTGCCGAATTCTGTCATATTGGGGGAGTTCTTTGCTTGAGCTGTTTTTTGTTGGCAGAAGTACACAGAACAGACACGTGGAAATTTCCCCTTGAACATCCCATTCTGTGTAACAAACACTATAAAACATGCTATATGTGTACAGCCATTTTGAACACACACATTTTGAACACAACAGTACTAGGAAAAAGGCCCGTTGTGGAAATAAATACAACGATCTCTAGAAAGAGGCTCTGGGCGGGTGCCCCGGCCTTGGACTCTGTCAAGGTACGCTGCTCTTTTGCATGGGTCATGGACTGGAAAAAACAACAACACCTGAAATCAAAATGGTAAAACCGGGTTGCACTTACCTGTAGTTGTTGTTCATTGAGTGGTCTTCTGTGCAGGCAGTAAGTGGGACTGCAGTTACGCGGGCCTGCCACGGAGAGGAGCTAGCGAGCTGATCTCAGACAGGTCATAGATCCCAGGAGTGCTCCCCCCTCCCTTATAGAGCTTGTGAAGGTTTCCCCGCCCAAAAGTCACATGAATTAGGACAGGGGAGCACTCCCTCCCTCATTTCTCTTTTTGCCACCGTGCACAGAGGACATTTTCAGCAAGCAGCATTACTGAGGCCTGGTCTGACAGACTCTTCCACTGACTACCTGAGCCTGCCTTTGGTGGGGCGGGACGGGGTGTAAATCGAATGAATAAAAATAAATAAACAAAAACACATTTTTGACTGAATTTTTTATTGATACACACACACACACTCAAGTAAATCTTTTCCGTAATACAAAAAACACAAAATCTAGAAGAAAAATCTTTTTTCCTCTGAGGAGAAATCACCTCAGGCGATTGTACCATGGCCCTCTTCAAGAAGTGTTCAGATTGTGGTGCCAAAATGGCTCAAAATGATGAACATTCTGCCTGTTTGCTTTGTCTGGACAAAGGGCACGACACCCTCAACTTGTTCTGCCTGCCGCCTTTTGACCCCCCAAAGCAAGGGAGGGTAGAGCAGCGTGTTTAAAGGTGGCTCTGTGGGAGAAGGCTTTGAAGGCAACTCAACCTAATGTGAACAAGGACGCCACACAGGGGCAGATTAACCATTAAGCAGACTTAGCATGTGCTTAGGGCACCAGGGCCAAAGGGGGCACCACAAAGTTGGGGAAAGGGTGAAAATAAAATAAAAATTTGTAAAAAAAAAAAAATTGATAAAACTAGTGTACATTGATCATGGTACACCCTAGGGTTATCTTCTATTTTTTGTTGGCGAGGTGCAGTGTCATAGGCTATGACACCAAGATTGGGGGCACCAAGATTGGTCAGTGCTTAGGGCACCAGTGAGCCTTAATCCGCCCCTGACGCCACACCTGGGTCTTTTGGGTGGGAAACCTTCACAAACTCTGTAAGGGGGCGCACTCCTGAGGGGAGCTTAGATCTGCCTGAAATCAGCTTGCTAGCTCCTCTCCATGGCAGGCCTGCAGAACTGTGGTCCCACGTGGGACCGCGCAGAAGCCATGACAAGGAACGGCTACCTTACTTGTTAAGTTCAAGGACTGAAGAAAGAAAAATACATTGCTAAAAATGAAAAAAAAAATGAAACTTTACAAGTGCTGATGCATCACTTTGGGAATGGCAAAACCATGAAGAAAAAACTGTGACGTTCAAGATACGTCAGAGGGCAGCCATATTGGTCTGCAGTAAAACAGTCAGATTCGAGTCCAGTGGCGCCTCAGAGACGAACGCGAGTCAGGAGCTTTGACTCTCAAAATGTTATACCCTGAAACTCTTGTTGGCCCCTAAAATTTGTTACATTTGAACTACTTTAAAATATCCATTCTCAGGAACTGTGACATGCGTAGCTGGAATACAGGATTTACCATGAATCCTGACCAAAATGACTCTAATGAACATCTAATTTAGCAATGCTGGGATTCCCAAGTGATAGCCAGGTGGGGTGCTGTGGTCAGAGTATCAAACCAGGACCTGGGAGACCTGTGAGTTCACGAACACTCCCTTCTGAGTTCGGAAGAAGGGTCACTTCATACACTACTTTGGCTTCTCTCTGCATACTACTCAAGCTCTGGAAATAGGGTTGCCAAGTCAAAATTTCGCCTGAGCGGGGGACTCCCCGCTGGCGGCTGGAGGGCGGCTGGAGCACATGCACCGCACGCACGTCACCCGGAAGTGATGTGACGATGTCGGGCACGCTGGGGGGCGGGGCCACAACCATCCGAGGGAAAACCATAGAGT